GGTTTAGTTGTATACAATGCATGATCAATTTCCTATGGCGTTTTTTGATAAAACTGAAAGTGATTTTACATTAAAAAACAATACTATAATTTTATCTACCAGTCCACTGATTGTACTTTTACAATATTAACAAGCAACATTTTTGAAAATATCTGAAATTCTTTTGCAAGAGAAACAGTTTATAATATTAAAGCAAAAATAATTAATCAATTTAAAATACTGCAAAAGCACTTTGAAATCTCGTGAATTCTTACCTTGAATAAATTTTGGTTCACAAAAATCAAATTCATCTATAGCCCCAGAATACTTCTTAAAGTCATTCAGCTTACTGTTGGCGTATTTGATAACATCTTCATAAATTTCTATTCCGTGATTAATACCACTACTACCAATTATCAGACCAACCATGGTACTCAAATAACCAGTACCTGAGCCTAAATTTAAAAAACTGAGACCTGGTTCTAAGCACAGGCATTCCATCACTTCACTGTATATGCAGGGAGCTGATAAGTGTAAATTACCACTTTTCCATGCCAAATCTTTGTAAGCATCATTTCTAGCTTCTAATAAAAAATATTCAGCTCTATCAACAGCTCGAAAAGCTTTTTCAACAATACCAGTTCGAACATAAAGTGCTTCAACTAAATTGTCAATCAAATCGTCATTATCTTGACCCGTGCTCACTGAGCTTCCCATTCTGCCCACGATCTGAAAAAAAAATATGCATTACCATGTTGATGATAAGAATATCAAAACAAACACGAGCCATATTTATGCAAAAATTATAACACGACATACATTTATACAACATAAAGTATTTTTGTTTACCTAAATCTGTGTATATTTCTTAATGAAGAACCTCTCGACCTCCTTTTTTAAGTATTAACAGAAATAAAAACTAAAATATATTTTAATAAAATTGTAAATTTAGTACGCAAACTATTATTACTCGAGAACAACAGCACCAATTTACCAAATGTCAAATTCAGTCAAACCGTTCACTGATGTTCAAGAGGGGAGTGCGGGAAAAACAGCTGTTTATTTTTATCAAAGTACATGCGCAGTGCGAGCAAATTCTGTGGTAAGTTTAAATATTTTTCCTGATAACATCCTTAAAATCCAAAATATTAGCACTGGAGGTGTTTAAAACTAATTTTACCATACTTTTCAATCAAATTTTTCTTTACCGAAAGTAAAGTAGGAAAATTAATTTTAAATTTATCTTAAATTTTGACATGATACACAGAAAACGATTCGTGTTTTGCTGAAAAAAATCTTTACTTCCACCTAGTAAGGGAGTTATTAAGAGTAACGAATTGAAACGCAGAATTATATGAAGATAATTAATTAATATATTGTAATGTAAGAACGACCTTGCGTGAAATCGACAGTTACTAAGTGTAAATGTTTTGAGAAGGTACGTAAAANATATGTTGGCAATAATCTAATATCTGTCAAACGTAACGTTTACCAGCGTTTAAAAGGTTTAAAAATCAAAAGTTCAGTTAAACGTGAGTGATTGAAATTTAATTATCCAGTTCGAATATTTATACTAAGTGCGACATTTGCTTTATCAAGAATATTTATTAGTCATGGAACACTTACAAACACCTATCAGAAATAAAAACATCTCAAATAGAATTGTAATGTTACCACCATCACCTTCTTTGAAACAGTTGGGTCACGGCACAGGTAAATTTAATTGTTTGATAAATATATGTTATTACCAATAAGCCTAAACGTACAATTTGTGTTTACCAAATCATGAGTAAGATATTAAACTAGACATTCATTTTTCTAGTTTTCTTTATGTTTTACTAGATATCACAATTGTATTTTTAAATTTTATTGTAAAATTATTGAGGAGTACCGAAGTTCTTAAAAAATCTACTTTAATTTTTTTTAAGTATATATTGATTGTAAAAAGATTGTAAATATTGAGGTTTTTGATAATCACAATGAAATTAAACGGATTATGGCTTGCAGGTATTACTGTTTACAAAATGGAACGTATACCTCAGACAGACAACAAAGCTTCCCCATGGGCAATCAAAAAAGTTGCTTCTTCAATAGCCTCTAAAAAGACAGAATACCAACAGCGTTTAAAGTATGAAGCAGAAATCTTAAGGAAACTGGATCATCCAAACATTGTTGGCTATCGAGGACTGGTAAAGTCATTTGATGGTACGGACTGTTTAGCAATGGAAGAATGTTCAAAATGCTTGGGAGCCATGATTGATGAACGTTTTGAAACAATCAATATTCCTTTTCCTGCTGAAAACATCTTAAAGGTAGCCTTTGATATTTCTAAAGCCCTTCTATATTTACATGAAACTGTCCTTATTTTACATGGTGATATTAAATCTTATAATATACTGATAAAAGGTGATTTTGCGACATGCAAATTGTGCGATTTTGGTGTATCAATGCCAATAGATTCAAGTGGAAATCTTGATTATACTAAAACAGATCCTGAGGCTGAATATATAGGCACTACATCGTGGTGTCCTCCAGAAATATTTCAGTGTCCATCGAAAATTACAACAAAGGCTGATATTTATGCTTATGGATTGGTTTTATGGGAAATGATGGCTTTATCACCGCCGTTTTTTAATGATAATAGCGCTAGTGATCTTGATACCACACAGTCATCTGATTCATTATCTAATTTTGAACGTCCCCAATTACCTCCTAATGATTTCGATGATTCATATACTTTAGTAATTGAATTATTTTATTGTTGCACTGAACTTGATTACTTAAAAAGGCCTTCTGCAAAAGACCTCATTTTAACTATAAAAAACGCAAAAGCAATATAATACATTTTATATGTGGATATATTGTAATTAAAATCACACAAGAGTCTTCTGCACAGATAATATGGAAGTTCGTTTCTTAAGAGTTAGTTAATGTAATAAAATAAAGTTTTGTGACAAAAGCTGGCCACGAGTAACACAAAAGAGGTATTTATTGATAAAATTTTATTTCTTCTTTTTGTTTTGATAATATTTAATAAGTTTGCTAATGTAACGATATGGTTATTTACAAAGTTTCATCACTTTAATACCTCAAATCACAACCGTCAGAACAAGGACTTACAAAAATATTTTTGTACCTTTATTAGTAGTATTTATGCCCGTTTATTTATTGAAGTAGTTAAGTTTGTTCGTTTTCTTTGGTTTAGTTGTATACAAGGGGTTTATTGAACATCTTAGAAAAGCCAGAAATTGTTAACAGTAATCTTAAACTATATATAGTATGTCACTAATGTGTACTTCCTAAACAGAATTCGTTTTTCAGAATGTCAGCGTCTGTTTCTTCTAATTCTGCTGATTTATCTATTCAGTTCGATTCCGAAAAAGAAACTGATGTTGTTCTCAATTTAAACAGCACAACAAACAATTCTACATCAAATTCAGTTTCAGATATTTCCAAAACAGAGATAGTTAATAATAACAGTTCGGTTGAAACTGTTACACCAACTCAGTTGACGCAATGGGTTTATATTCAAACACCAACAAAAGTTGCTTTATCAAATAATGCTTCATCGAATAATAAAAATAATTCTAATAACTTAATGGTGAACGGTACCTTGCCACAGTTCCAGTTATCGAATTTGGGATCTGGAATCAATAATAAAAATACAATTTTACCATCAAGTATTCAAATACCAACAAACATTACAATTCCAACTAACCAGGGAGTTCTTCTCACTCAACCACTTCATAATTCGATAAAACCACATTTAGTTATTAAAAAGTCTCCTGGAAATATTCAGGCAGTTCCAGTAGTTCCAGTATCTGTAGCAACAAGCACAGGTTCTAAAAGTGCATTAGTCCACTTCACAATGATTAAATCAAATGATTCAGCACAACTGCAGCAGTTTGGAGGACTGGGTAAAATTAAAACCACAGATAATTTACAAATAGTTAGTTCTTCGCATTTGTCTTCTAGTATCTCTAATTCATCCTTAACTAATCAGAAGTATGTCATAGCACCTATGCCTAAAGTTACAAGCAATCGTTTACCAATCACTGCTACTACAAATACAGTACAACCCAAGATTGCATTTATGCCCATAGGCACACTAAATTCCTCCAAACCAAAAACTTTCAATTTTAAACTTACTGATGGGCAACTAAAGGAAAGAAATAATGGCAAGTTACCATTATGGGCCGAAACATTGCCAGGTAATAAACAGAAAATGTACAATTTCAAAATTGCAGATGGACTTTTGCAAAATGATAATAATGGAAACATAAAAATATTATGTAGCAGTTCAGGTGATAAAGACACTGAAAATAGTGATAGAATAAACCAACCAGAGAATGAAAAACTGCTTTGTAGTGAAATAATATGTTTGAATAGTCCTGAAAAGAAAGAATCGCCAGAAGAAAGGTTTTACGAATTATCAATAGTGGAAAATTCCAATTCCTGTAAAAGCGACGTAAACCTGACTATTACACCTGTACTTGACGATCCAGAAAAATGTAGAGGATTTGAAAACAATAAATTTCCGCAAAAAGAAACCCAAAAATTTGTTAAGCATGGCGTCTCAATTTTAAAAAAGAATTTCGCAAATGTAGATCGTAAATCTGAAAAGAATTCCAATAGTTTAATTATAAGTCCAATGCCTAATACTATTACAACCGTTTCAGATGCAATAAGCAAAGAAATTAAAGTACTTTCTACAAGTAAAGAAAATACAGATGTCTTCTTAGCCAAGTCTCTTCCCCTAAGGACAGAAAGAAGAAGGAAATCTAACTTTTCATACAGAGTTGATTATGACGACGCGATGACCTCTTCAAATGCGAATAACTGGAAGAAAAGCAAAATTTCTTTAGACAGATATAAACAATTTGAAAATTCAGATATTATGCTAACTAAACTTGATGATGACAACAATTACGACATAAAGAAAGAAATAAAAACCGAAGATATGATCGAAATAGAACTAATAAAAGAAGAAAAAGTAGATGAACCTAAAGAAAATTGTGACATTTTTAAAATTCTTAAGTGGGAAGATGGCATAGGAACATTACCTGGAAGTGAATTAAAATTTCACATGAACGAGTATGGAATGTTAGAATATTTAACTAAAGAAGAATTCAAGCAACTTCTTTCATCAAAAAAACCCGAGCAATTAGATCAAAAACCTAAGAAAGAAAGTCAGGAAGACATCTGTTGTGCAGAATGTGGATGCTACGGATTACGCTCTGATTTTGTTACTTCAAAATACTNCTAAAGTAAAATGTTAACTATACACTCCTAAAATATTTTACATACAAAGGTAACACTGAAATATCCATCACTAAAAACGATTTTGAGTTATTTCGATACTTGATATAAAAGTTATTTAATTTAATTTAAGGAAGTCTTTATCTCACAGGATGTCCTAGGAATATTAAAAAAGAAAAATTTAAAACTTTAAAGTTAAATGTTATATTTTGAGATTTTTAAGGTACCAAATAATGTTATACAAGATTTAAGAATAAATTTTATTTAACGTTACCTTTATTATAGTTACTCGATTATCGAAAGCAAATATATGAAGTATAATAATTAATAAGTACCTTCAGATAAATGAAACGTATTATTTTTTAAAATTTCGTCGGCCTTCCTTGTATTTTCCTTTATTCCATCAATCCATTGGCGAATAACGTCGGACTTTTCGTGTATATCTCGGATATTTTTAACGTTTGTTTTTCCATTTTTTTCGTTGTCCGACACGACAGAATTTAACTTGAATAATTATTCCGATTTACCTTATATTCTAACATACAAATGTAGTGTAATACAAGTAATGCACTTTACCTGCTGTAGTTCGTTCAGTCGGTCACGCGTTGGCGACATAGCGGTATATTGTAGTAATAACAGTGTTATCACTTAAACGAATACGTTATCAAACTGATACGAGCAAATTCGGTACCTACACATTTAGAACCCCGGTACAAATGTAAATAAGAAGCGCTTCGCAATATGAGGTGTATCTATTGCATGCTAGAATAAACAAAACTTTTTTTTTCTTTGTTCAAACTTCTGAGCACATTCATTCACACTTATGTGCAAACGTGTGTAACAAATATCGCATACCATGCTAATTATTTTATGAATGAACGAATGATGAATAAATAGTCGAAGTGAAAGGCAAAAAATTTAAAAAAAAATTGATACCTACATGTGTCTGACAGGTACCTATTTTCCGTTAATTTTTATTTTTCAAGAACGCGTTCCTTCGTTATTTTAAGTTATGATTTATGATCTTATTATAATTCCTTATAATGAGCGCATTGTGGCGTTTCTGTTTTATGCAAATATGCGCTGTAAAAACATTTGCTAATTCAATCATTATTGTTACTTATTACTTTAGGTGCATAAAAATTATGCGCCACAGTTATGCTTCCAATTGTTTTTTAGCGCGTCAGTTGGAATTCAAAACTCCAAAAAGTTTTAATAGAAAAAATCTCCGCATGTTACGATCATCAAAAAAAGATCGCGGAACTACTGGTCACACGGCTGACGAGTCTGTGACTTTCGTCATTAGAATGGGCGTATTTTTGAGAAACTTTTAAGCAAAAAGAAAAATAAAAAAAAAATAGAATTTATTAATACTTCAGTACAATGTTTTGTTAAATATTTTACTTTAAAAAATTGACGTACATGTTAGAAAAAGTTTTATTGAAGTTGAGAATGCATACATGTTTATTACTAATAATTCAAATTTCAAATACTTTACAAAAACAACATAACTAAAATTACCAATATAATAATGCAAAGAGCAATGATAACATATGTTTTTCTCTGAAATAAAAGATATTTTAATAGTTTATCGTTGTGTGTGATATAACATAATTTAAATCACTTTTACCTTATTATATTTCCGTTTTGACCTTTCCGTCTTTCCCAGGTCAACTGTTCCATCTTCTACGTACTCCACCGCTGTATTTGCATGATACTCTGCTCTGTCAATTGATTCTTGCTAAAAGAAAGTAGATACTGCACAATTATTTAATTATGGGATTGTTCGTCTAATATTTTTTCATTTTGCGTTACCTGATAATTAAAATTAACTTAACAGAAAACTGTGGTAATCAAATAAATTTCTTTTTCATCTATACTATAGGTACAATACTTATGTATATAAAAATTTATTAACTAATTAAATAAAGGATATGGGAGATATCCTTCAAAAGGCGCTTCACCATGCCTTTCTACATACCTGCTCTTGGACCAGTATCGCAATTTGTGTAAATAAATCCCTGACTTCAGTAAGTTGTTCTTCTATCTTCAAAAGTTCCCTGTGACGTTCTTCAATGTCTGCTACTTGTCTTTTAACTTCTTCTGTTTCTTGGAGGTACTAAAATATAATAGTTTTTTTAATCCAGTAATATTTCATTATGTGCCACATTCCAATATTACGTTATCTGTAAATGTTTGAATGAACTTTTTATCTTCCATAAGTGTTTCCAATTCTTCGTCATCTTGGACATTCCTTCCCACTACAAGTATGATAGTTTCAGTATTTTCTTTAGAATTTCTGTAAAGTAAAACCTACCAGTTTTAAATGCTTTTCGAAGTATTTCTCTTCTGGAATTGCGGTGTTTCTCTAAAACGTCGTTGCTTTCTCGTAGAGCTTCTTGAAATGATCTTTGCAATGTAACAAGTTGTAATTTTTTGATTCGATACTCCGCTGTCGCCACATTCTCTGATTTTTTCAGATCTTGTTCTATTTCTTTTAACTTGCTATTTATTTTGAAAGCTATGCTCGTGGTATTTTTAAAGCTCGTGTCTAAATCATTCTGCAAATCTTAAGAAGGTAAAAATTATGTTAATTGTATGTTTTGCTAATGAGGTAAGGTAGTTGTTTATTTTTCGTAACACTATAAGGGAACAATGATGCTAATCAAAAAATCGTGATGCTGCATTTAGACGTAGGTTTAAATTATAAAATGCTGGCTATTCTTTTCTAAGTTCGCCTTTTTGAGTGGTGTGTACATAAGATTAATAAAAGTTAATCGAATTGTGTGATCATTTTCAGGGTAAATAAAATTGAAAACGCGCATTTTCTGTTTAAGCAAACTATTACTCACCATTGGAAATAATGATAAATTAGATAATTTTGACTGGTAAATAGTNGGCATAGGAACATTACCTGGAAGTGAATTAAAATTTCACATGAACGAGTATGGAATGTTAGAATATTTAACTAAAGAAGAATTCAAGCAACTTCTTTCATCAAAAAAACCCGAGCAATTAGATCAAAAACCTAAGAAAGAAAGTCAGGAAGACATCTGTTGTGCAGAATGTGGATGCTACGGATTACGCTCTGATTTTGTTACTTCAAAATACTGCAGTTACGATTGCCAAGAAAACGGAATGAAACATTACAAAGTGAAACGCAAAAAGAAAAAGACGTGGACCAAGAAAACTAGCAACGAATATTTAGGAAACAATGATAACGGCGACGTAGATCAATCACCCAGTGAAGAGGAAAATACTTCCAACGAAAACTCAATTGACAAATACAATTACCCATGGAACTGTAGCAAGAAAGGTTTCTCGTGGTCAAAATATTTAGACCATATCAAAGCTAAAGCTGCCCCTGTCAAATTGTTCAAAGATCCATTTCCATATACAAGAAATGGTTTTCGTCCGGGGATGAAATTGGAGGGAATTGATCCTCAACATCCATCTCATTTTTGCGTTCTAACAGTTGCTGAAGTTGTTGGGTATAGGATGAGACTGTATTTCGATGGATATCCCGAAAATTACGATTTTTGGGTTAATGCCGACAGTATGGATATATTTCCAGCAGGATGGTGCGAAAAAAACGGACACGTCTTACACCTGCCCCCTACATATACGACTGAAGATTTTAACTGGAATACCTATTTGAAGCAGACAAGATCAACGGCTGCTCCCAAACATCTTTTTGTAAACAGAGCTGGAAGTGTAAGTTCATTTTTTTTATTAAAAAAATTCCTGCCTCTAAAAAATTCGATTTCGTTATCAGTTTATTTTATTCGTTGTCATTGTCATTTATAGAGATTAAAAATAAGAAAAAATGTTTTTCTATTTTAGTCTGTCTGTCCTAACGGTTTTCGAATAGGAATGAAGTTGGAAGCAGTGGATCGTAAAAATACGTCTTTAATATGTGTCGCAACAGTAGCTGATATGATGGATAACAGACTTCTTATCCATTTCGATAATTGGAATGATATTTATGATTACTGGGCCGATCCCACATCCCCATACATCCATCCCGTGGGTTGGTGCGACCAGTATGGTCACAATTTAACACCACCCAGTGGTAAGATGCCCGTTTTAAATTGTAACTGTAAAATATTCACATTTTTATAGTCCCCCAATAACTGATCGCCTTTTTTCTACGTAGTCCCTCTTGGTCTTTTTTTTCTTTTCTTATTACTATCAAAAAAGATTTTTGTTTATCGTTTTTTCGTTTAATTTAACCTTCATACTAATCGTTTCCTCGTAATTATTTCAATCTTGTGCGTTAATTTCTGTAATGTGATTTGTTGTACTTCTAGCAGCCAAAAATAGAAGAACAGGATGTTCATTTTTTCCAGGTTATCCAAATCCGGAAACGTTCACGTGGGAAAAATATTTGAAAGAAACAAAATCAACCCCCGCGCCCGTTCGAGCCTTCAAGCAGCGCCCCGCTTGTGGTTTCAAACGATCGATGCGTCTGGAAGCGGTCGATAAAAGGGTGCCACAGCTGATTAGGGTTGCGACTGTCGATGATGTCCGAGAACATCAGATACGAATCCGATTCGATGGGTGGCCAGATCGTTATAACTTCTGGATAGACGACGACAGCACTGACATTCATCCAGTTGGATGGTGCCAAAAAACTGGACATCCCATTGAACCTCCTTTAAGTAAGTCTTGGTTATTAGTGGCACATTTACAAACAGACGGCGGAGGCAGTGCCCCATGTCGACATCATATGACAAACACTATTTATGTATTATTTTAGTAAAACTTTTACTAACACTGATATTGAACCTATATGCGATACTTATTCAAAATAGTAGTGAGTATAGAGACAAAACAAAAAAAAATCAAATGAGTTATTTCAAAAGTAACAATTTAAGGGGTGCCGAAAATCTCTAACGCCTCAGGCTCTCTAATGTCGAAATCGCCACTACTCAATGTCCTGCTTTTGTAACGTTTATACCAAAAATAGCTTTTCTAATTAATTTTGTTATTTTGTAGCTCCTGATGACGTCTACGACTTTTTGGAATGCCCTACGGTGGGTTGCAGAGGCGTGGGCCACATAAGAGGTCCCAAATATCCAACACATTCGTCCCAAAACGATTGCCCCTATGCGGAAGAAAATATCGACAAGGAAAACATCCTGCCTGATCGCCTTTTAACTCCCGACTGTCAGGTTGAAGCTGTCGTGCCTGTTTCTGTTCCCGTTTCTAAAGAGATTAAAGACAAATCGCCCATTGAAAGGCAGTAAGTCAATAAATTATAAAATAAATGTGTTTTTGCATAAGAAGATAATTAGCCAAATTAATCAAGTTCTTCTATTATTATTAAAACAGCAAAAAGTACGTATAATTACGACAGAAATGAAATGTGTTGGTTTTCCTTTACCACCCTCTTCAATTTCGATTAGAAAAATTGTTTTGTCGTTACATTAAAATTAATTTTCTTTGCTTTAGAAAACCCAGAATAGGTCGTCCACCCAAAATTCCCCGCATGGACACACACAATATTAAAACCGAGTGGAATGAATCGGATGATTCGAAACCCCCAAAACGGAAATACCCCAAGAGGTGTAAGACCGAAAGTCCTCCTGGAGGTTTTAGTGTTCCAAAACGTGACGGACTCATCATCAAAAACGGTTTCGTGCAGCCTCCGCCTCCCGATCCTACGTGGTTTAAACATGCGAATTATTTACGTCAGTTTATACGTCAAGATGCAGATCCTCGCGATTGGTCAGTGGATGATGTGGCCGACTTTATTTCTTCATTACCTAGTTGTAACGAGGAGCACTTGGCCCTCTTCGATGCGCATCATATTGACGGTGAAGCGTTATTAATGCTTACGCAGCAGGATCTGACAAACATTTTGAACATTAAGTTGGGACCAGCAATCAAACTGTACAATGCGATACTGTTGCTAAGGCGGAATATTTTTGCTGTGTGATTGTTTCCTATTTCGGTTCTCTGGTTGAGTTTTTCAAATATTTGTTTATTTATCTTTTTTACTTTTTCCCTTCTTCCGTTGCATGTTTTAAAATCAAACGATTGTAATGTGATTTTCTTTGCGAAACGAAATTTTTATTATAATTATTATTATAACAAACAAATACTATTTTCGTTGTCGCAGTTGAGAATAGTGATTATTACAAATTAATATTATTGTCATATTATAACGACGTTTTTCGTATTTTACTTAGAGCTGTGCGATTTTTTATTTTGTTGTAAATAAAATAAACTATTTTTCTTGTACATAAAGTTAATACAAAACATTGTAATGAAATACATATTTGTTTTATTCTTATTTCGTAACAGGAATACAAAATTGACTCAAATATAAAATTGTAAAGACGGTTTCTCAAAAAAAAACCATTTTCAGTTTATGTGATATTAACAAAAAATTTTAAAATGTACGACTGTCGAGCCCTTTAATTTGATCTCTGATAGATTATTTTAAATTCTTTCGGATTTTTGGTCATAAATCAAATAATACATTGTATTTATTTAATGAAAATAAAAAAAAAATAAGGATATGTGACGTCTTTTCTTAATATTATGTAGACATCTTTTTTATTCAAAACCCTTTTGTACCGCCACAAGTGTAAATGTTTTGAGAAGGTAC